GAAAGAACATGCAACGCAAAAGGTAGCCAGTGTAAAAGGGCCGAGAAAAACAGAAAGGAAAGGGGCAACAAACAAAATTGAGAATGGTTAATGGCAAAAGAAAAAGGCCAAATTTTGGCTTATGTGCATGCCCGGAATTGAAATATTGCTCAATTTTATACCTAATCCTTGAAAAATCTCTCCTTTTAGTAAAAAAGCTTTCTTAGCAAAACTTAGGCTTATTTAGCGTCATGGCAGCTAAAAAACCTGGCTAAATGGTTAAAAACGGTATTTTTTAGCAAAAGTTTGGTATTCAAAGGGTTAACTGCCATCTTCATTACATTACTTCAAGTTTGCAATTGCAATAGTTAACCAGTGATCTTTCCTATGTGGAAAATATTTACTGACATCTGAAAATGATTCCCATCTTCTGAAAAAAGATGGGAAAAGCCACCCATACCATTGATGCTTGAAATGGCTTTAAAACTAAAATGGTGCACACAGTGGATAGTTTGAAGTTTGTATAACATGATGTTCATTGTAGATTGATATTTGTCTATAACTATTAATTTCTCAACAGTAAGCTAGTTTGTGTCCATTTTGGAAGCTGGGACAACTCTAAAGAATGGACGATCACCATGCCAGAAGGAGAATCAATCCAAGTAAGTAGAATTTTTAATACACCGTAAACTGCCACTTGTAAGCCTTCCTGCTCATAAGCATCTCCTGTTATAAAAAAAAATATATTACTTCCGATTTTACCCCCTCCCTTCTTGAATATAAGCTCCCCTTAGTTTAAAATTAAATGAATTTGATTTTTTATGTTTTAAAACTGAATTGAAAACCAACCAGTACATGAAGAATGTATTTTGATCAACACTGCTATAGCTCATTTCAAAATTATTTTTTTTAATTTCCCCCTTCCCCCGCTCAGATATAAGCTCTATAAGCCCATCCAAAACCCCTCAACTTCAAGCAAAATGACAAGAAATATTATCCTGAGAGTAAATAACTTGAATGCACAGGGAAAGAGCATATTAGTGAAGCCTGTGAAGCTTCAACACATAGGACCAATCTTTGAAAATTCATGCTTCAATCCATTAGGCGGTGGCAACTGGCAGTTCATTTGTTGCTGTAGCAACTAACAAGCGGTTCCTGCGAGTGTTTACCATTGGTGGAGTTCAGCGTGACATTCTTAGTCTTCCTGGTCCTGTTGTATGCATGTCCGGACACAAGGACCAGCTGATGGTGGCATTTCACATTAACAACCCTCTTCCTGGCGAACAAGCTCTAGCTCTTAAATTACTCGACTTAAATTGCAACAAGGAACTTATTGCAGAAGAAAGGGTCTTATTAAGTGAGAAGACCACACTGTCATGGTTGGGGTAAGGTTTGAATAATTAGTTACTAAATATTGTTATTATTAAGTACTTTTCCAGTAAGTGGAGTAAATGCTGACCTAATGGTTTGTGCATTTTATTTATAACATGATAGTAAGTTTTAAACTTAACTGTTAATTTATTGTTTTACTTGAAGTGGGTGGGAGATTTATTCATCCTTGTGTTTGATGCATGTAACTCTGGATCAAGTGGTCTGGGTTAAAATGCTGNAGGGTCTTATTAAGTGAGAAGACCACACTGTCATGGTTGGGGTAAGGTTTGAATAATTAGTTACTAAATAATGTTATTATTAAGTAATTTTCCAGTAAGTGGAGTAAGTGCTGACCTAATGGTTTGTGCATTTTATTTATAACATTATAGTAAGTTTTAAACTTAACTGTTAATTTATTGTTTTACTTGAAGTGGGTGGGAGATTTATTCATCCTCGTGTTTGATGCGTGTAACTCTGGATCAAGTGGTCTGGGTTAAAATGCTGTCCAGGGTTGTTCTGTTTTATTCTTGGACAATGCCCTAAACGTCACAGTGCCTCTCTCCACCCAGGAGCATAATGGTCTCCTGAATGTGACCTTACCTTTACCTGTATTGTACCTGTACCTTTACCTGTACTGTACTATTACCTTACCTGTATTGTTTTTGATTTCTTGGTTTCTTGATTTTCTGTTTTGCCTTGAAAGGTTTTCTGAAGAAGGCACACCTGTCAGTGTTGATTCAGCTGGAGTTGTGAGGTTACTGTCACGTTCCTTGGGTACTGCATGGTCCCCTGTTTGTATCACCAAGAGCAATGTAAGTGTTACTGTTGTTGTTCTAAGTTTACTTGTGAATGTACAGTGATCCAACAGTGAACCTCCCTGCTTCCCTACCTCCCTCCCTCATTCCCTGCTCCCTTGCCTCCCTACTTCCCTGCCTCCTTGCCTCCCTGCCTCACTGCGTCCCTCCCTGCTTCCCTGCCTTCCTACCTCCCTACCTGCCTGCCTGCCTCCCTCCTTTCCTGCCTCCCTCCCTCCTTACCTCCCTCCCACCTTCCCTGCCTCCCTACCTCCCTGCCTCCCTCCCACCTTCCCTGCCTCCCTACCTCCCTGCCTCCCTTCCTCCTTCCCTGCCTCCCTCCTTCCTTACCTCCCTGCCTCCCTGCCTCCTTCCCTGCCTCCTTGCCTCCCAGCTTCCCTGCCTCCTTACCTCCCTCCTTCCCTGCCTCCCTCCGTTGCTACCTCCCTATCTCCCTACCTCACTGCCTCTCTCCCTCCTTCCCTGCCTCCCTCCCTGCTTCCCTGCCTCCCTACCTCCTTGCCCCCTCCTTCCTTCCCTACCTCCCTGCCTCCCTCCCTGCTTCCCTGCCTCTGTCCATCCCTCCCCCCTTACCTCCCTGCCTCCTGCCCTACCTCCTTGCCTCCCAACCTCCCTCCCTGCTTCTCTTCCTCCCTCCTTACCTTCCTTCTGGCCTCCTTGAACCTTCATTTCTTCCTCCCACCCTCCATCCCTCAATCTGTCTGTCTATTGTTCCTTATTTTCCTTCTCTAAATTACTTCCTTACTCTCTTACATCTCTACTGCAGTGATTATTTGATGTATTGATAAATAGCCATGTATGTATCTGTCTAGATATTTATGTATTTATTTCTTTATTTATTTCAGATGAAAAATAAATCAGACAATTATTGGATTGTTGGCTTAGATGAGACAAGCCAACAAATCAGGTAAGAGTCCTTGATAAGTGTACTCTACAGACTTTTTATATTGTAATTTTAAAGAAAACTCAAAGTTATTAGCATGCTGTTGATAAATGTACCTGCATATATCATAAAATTAGCAACCTCCTGTACTGGGCAGTTCCATTCAATGTAAATCCTCTTTTGAGGAACATTCGATCAAAAACAATTGGAAGCAAACCACTGTTCATATTTGAGTAAATATATTCTGTGTTATGTGTGGCAAAAAAAACCATCACTGCCTGTCAATTTGTTTTCTTGAAACTTGAGAATCAGTTGTTGTAAATATAGATGATTTGTGTTTGCCTTAATGACTTCTGTGTTTAGGTGCATCTACTGCAAGGGTTCAACCTACCCACCCACCTTACCGCGCCCTGTTCTTGTTCTCCTTCCATTACAACTTCCATTCTGTGAAATGACCACAGAAAAAGGGCAACTAGAGGTACCATAATTTATTTTTCATCTTTAAAACTATTTATCTCTTTATCAATTTATTTAATTACTCCTTACCAATGTTTATTAATTGAGTTTCAATATTATTTTCAAGAAATAGTTATTAAAATGCAAAACATTACTTTGCTGCATTGTTACCAATGTCAGGAAGCATATGTTCGATCAAAGCTTATGCTTGGTGGAGCAAGTGAAGATCAGCAAGAGGCTTTGAGTCAGGCCAAGACAGCACAGATACAAGGCGTCATGAAATTATTTGCAGTAAGTTTGTGATTTACTTGTCAGCACATAAATCAATTTATGAGAGCCAAAAGTAGCTTAATTATTAGGTTCCAGTCTCTGATGTATTTTTTTCTGAAATTTAGCTGGCATGCAAGAGTGATAGAGAGTTCCGTGCAGTTGAATTGTGTGAATTACTACCAGATGCCCATTCTGTAAGTAATTTCTAAAATTATTGAAATAATTTAAATAATTTAATTGATATATTTTGATATGATTTAAATATTTAAAAGCATTAATTGAATGTGTTACTGCCTTGATATCACTTCTGGCATGTATATTCAAATGATTGACAGATTTTTTGAGAAAATTGAGGGCCACTTTGTTTTGACCTGGACCCACTAAGAATTAAGAATTCAAGGAAACTGGCCCAATTGTTCACCAAAGGATGAGTTGATTTTTAGACCTTGGGATTAGTACAACTACATGGTCTAAACCAAAGTTTCTTAAACCTATTCCAAATGTTGTGCTACTGACGTGCCGAGCTAAATTCAAGAATTAAATTTGACTTAAGCATGGCAGTACCATGACATTTGAAACTGCTTAGTTCAGCAAGCTGAATTAAGTTAGCACAAGGCAGGCCTTGCAGTGCCACACAGCAGTAGTGCGACCTGGCTTCTAACAAAGTGCTCTTGCCATGTCAAACTGAATTCGTAGTCTGCTGCATCAGCTGCCATAGCTTTCTAGTATTTAAAATGGTCTTCAGCAGAGCAGACTTCTTCCGATCCTTAACGCGACTGAATTTAATTTGACGTTTGAAACCATTCCCGTTCTTTTGTCATGCCACTGCTGGGCAAATTCATGTGAGTTTGGCATGGCAGTAGCATGACGTTTGGAACCCCTTATAATTCTATATCTTTCAACAACAGTTCAAAGAGCTGTCAAAAGTTGAGATACAGCAATGAACTATTGCAGGGAGGAAACACACCCTAACTTGACAAAAACCTCAACTCCTTTTATAGGTAAGCTTGGCGATAAAATATGCTGCACGCAGTCGACGAATGAACTTGGCCAATCGACTTGATGACCTGGCTCGTAAGAAGGCAGAACTTGAGGCTGAGGAGGAGCAGGAAGATGATTTCCAGCAAGACAGCTGGCCCGTTAGGGGGAGTGAGGTATTCACATCAAGGGGGCGTGTTCGCCATCCTCAGACTGTGTCGAGACAAGTGGAACAGGCAGATGAGGAAGAGGAAGAGGAAGAAATAGAGGAGAATGGAGTAGATGATGAAATGGAAGACTGTGAAGATGATCAACAGATTTTGAGAAAGCAAGGTACTAAAAATGACTTACTGACCGACTGACTGACTCGCTGAGTGACTGACCAACTCACTGACTGACTAACTGACTGACCGACTCCCTGACTTGCTGACTGACTGACTGACTGACTGACTGACTGGCTACCTGACTGACTTGCTGACTGACTGACTGACTGACTGACTGACTCACGCACTGACTCGCTGACTGATGTTGAGCTACAGCATGTGCTCTGGTGGTAATTTCAGTTGCCACTACTTTCTTTCTAAATAGCCTGTCTGTAGACATAGATATAGTTCTAGACAGTACAGCTGAACCATGCACTGTGTAAGCACAGCTCTCGTCAGTCATGGGCAGATAATATAATTGGGAGTTGTGTTGCCCTAATGGTTAGTGCAGTAAACTTCAGATTGAGCAGTCCAGGTTGGAGCCCTGGCTGGGGACATTGTGTTCTTGGGCAAGACACTTAACTCTCACAGTGCCTCTCTCCACCCGGGTGAATAAATGTGTACCGGCAAATTTAATACTGGGGGTAACAAATCCAGGGCCTGAATGGGGTGCTACGAACTCCCATTGTATAAAGTTTTCAAGGAAGTAGTCAGTAGGTAATGTTGGTGACCTTCCGTATCTGAGAAACGATTTTCACTTGGTATTTCTTATTTTTTTTTCTGTAAGAGTTGTTTTCTGTCAGTCCTGGTACATGCATGTGTGCATATGGCTTCATTTACAAGTTGATCTGTTTAATGAAATAAATTTACATTTTGACTGTTTACAACACTTTTCTTGTTGTAGAAAGGAAGGGCCTAGCAAGACTAGACAGTCGGGATTTTGGATCTTTCCACTCAAAATCAAGTTCAGCTGTAAAACTCAAACCACCACCCAGTTCTCCTTCTCCAAGTCTAAGTTCAAGCCAGGGTCGTTCCAATCCATTCAGAGTGGGTAGTCCTGGAAAGAAGGCCTCTGGAGTGCACGGAAAGAGTTTCTTTGACAGCGTAGAAGAGGAAAAGAAAGCTCTTCTGCTCAGAAAAAGCAAGATATGTGAGTTATGTTTTGTAGTGCTTGACTAAATGTTTGTTTATCAGGCTGTTATAATTTTATCCTGTGATTAAATTATGGGGGATGTAAAATTATATTTGTAAGTAACATGTCCTTTAATTCTTTTGCCATTTACCATTTCACGAATGCTAGAGGTGAAAGTTGACAGTTGGCAGGCGTGAGTTTACATATGACAAGACAGAGAATCAACAGATGACAGACAAAAGGGTGATTTTGATGCATTTCGACTGAAGATGTGTTTTGAAAGAGAGCAGTCATTTGCACTTGTGATTTGACATGTGATTTGACAAATGATGCGGTACTGATGTGCATGTAACAGGCTAAGGTGAAGCTGTGAGAGACGAGCTCGCTTTGCTCGCCCACTCGTTTCGCACGGGTGCTGCAGCGCATGCTATGTAATTACATGTTAAGCTAACTTGTGATTAAAGAGCAACGCAGTTTTTTTTAGTTTTTTTTGAAAATGGTTATTCTTGTTATTATTATTATTCCAGCTCCAGAGTCCAAGCCAGCCCAGAAAAAGAAAAAGGGGAAACAAACCACTCTGTTGCAGTCACCCCCAGAGAAGGAAAAAACAAATGAAAAGACAGCACCCTCAGAGAAGAATGCTGCAGCTGTTAAGAAGTAAGTTATCAGTAAATTGACCGATCAATCAATTCAGTCAGTCGGTCAGTGGTGGGGCCCCGTCCACAGCACGCTGGAAGAATATGAACACGGATGTTTCACTCTGAAAACGCATCAAATGTTTTCTGTCCTCATTACGCTGGAGGAAGTTAAAAACGCAACAATGGGAGAAAGAAAATAAAACAAGACAAAGGAAAAGTGAGAATATGTCGGCGCCTGCTTAGGGGAATGTCCACCTCCGGGAATGAGTAAACAGAGTTTGTATGGGCGGTCAAATGGGTTTTTTTGGAGGCGATCGTGAGTAGAGCTGTCCACTTACAAAAGTGTCCTTTACATCTACATTTAACAATTGATAACGCTTTCGCATCCAATCGATATAAAGTAGAGAGGTAAATAAATAGAGTACAGCACGGTGCTGCAGAGTGCTGTACTGTACAGTGGAGAGTTTAGGAAAATCTCAAAAAGGGCATGGCCTTACAGTAGAAGTTAAATCCCAGAAATAATTGTTATCTTTTGTCTGGTAGAGTCAATGGTTTCAACCTGTGGTTTGAAAAGAGTAAAGAAGCTCTGTCAGAAGAGAATCCAGAACTGTCTGATACTGACCTGGTAAAGTTTGCCATGCGACAGTGGAAGGCCCTGGAGGAAGAAGAAAAGATGGACTGGAATAGGAAAGCAAAAGAAGCTACTAGTGGAATTACAGAACAAGGAGACAAGAAGAGAAAACGAGAAAAGTGCGACGATGAAAACGAAGACACAACAAATACACTCAAACTAGCCAAGAAGACAAGAGAAGTAGTTGCAAACGGTGCAACATCTAAGCTGGCTGGATTTGCTTACAAAAAAGATTAACTGAATTTGTAAATATAAATTGTCCAGTAATATCTTATTGCAATCATGAGCTGCTGTAAAAATTGACTCCAAGAATCTGAGATTTTAAGCACTAAGAGTTATGAGGGCGTCACGGTATTTTGAGTTATTTTGGCCCCGTACAGAATTACCTTTAAATTAAAGGAAACCTGAAAATAGTAGTTAACTAAGAAAGAAAAACACTAAAGAGATAATAATAAACCATAAAGGGACAAGGATGGTTGAGGATGGAGAAGATTAACACGGATTAAGACGAACTTGAAAAATTTAGGCTAAACTTTTCAAGATGCGCAAGCCGTGATGTAGCTCCTTTAAAGAACCGCACCCTTAGCAAAAAAATACGATTACCAGACCTCCCTATACCTTCCTCCCAAGATGACAGACAATATTAAATCCATCAATCATTTCATAGAAGACAATTTTCCTATCCGCGTTTCGTTTGGCTTCCGTTTCCTATTCACAGGATATTTTTTTATTGCATTTAAAGGAAAACTTTTATTTTCATAGTGTGAATTAAAGTACGGGATCATTTTTGGAAAATCGAAACTTTTCCTACACACCATGCAAAATCCCCCCAGCTGCTCCCTCGAAAGTTACGAGGTCATTTCGGATTGAC